CATGAAATCTCCTCCAGGATACCCTACTCCCGGCAAAGCATGCAAACTAATTAAATGCATCTACGGTCTCAAACAATCCTCAAGGGAATGGTATGCCCGCCTCTCAAAAGCGCTAATCAAAATAGGATTCAGAAAAGCAGACTTCGACCCTTGTGTCTTCATACACAAAACAGGGGAAGTTGTCATCGCAATATACGTAGACGATATCCTCATCTTCTACTGGTCCGTTGAACGCAAAAACCGCGTCAGCCTCCTACTCCATTCTGAATTCGAAATGACGGAAACTGGCACAGCCAACTGGGCACTCGGAATCAACTTGATCCACACTAAGACTGGAATCATCCTATCACAGGAAGCTTATCTCAAGCGTGTACTTATCAAATATGGCTTCAACGAATCCAGACCTGTGACAACATCTATCGACAACAACGTCCACCTCCAAAAAGGAACGGAAGCTGAAAAAATCGACGATCCAACAACCTATCAGTCGATAATCGGTTCACTCATGTACGCAGTCATCGGCACTAGACCCGACCTCGCCTACACCGTCACCATGCTCTCGCAATTTTCTTCCTGTCCCACTAAGGCTCATCTAGCTGCAGTCCATCGCGTCCTCCGTTATCTCAAAGGTACCCTCGATTGGTCACTCTTTTACGCCAAAACGCGACCAACTGCACTCATCGGCTACAGCGACGCAAGCTATGCCTCCGACATCGACGATCGCCGCTCATTCACCGGCCACTGCTTCATGCTAGGGGAAGCTCTCATCTCCTGGCGCTCTTATAAGCAACGATCAGTCACCACTTCTACAACTGAAGCGGAATACATGGCCCTTTCGGACACCAGTCGACAACTGATCTGGTTAAGGAATGCAATCCACGAGCTGGAACGAAAACCGAATCTCTCTTTCATTCTTCGAGGCGACAACAACGGCTCTCTCTCTTTGGTTAAAAATCCTGTCTTTCATAAAAGATCTAAACATATTGACGTACATTTTCATTTTGTTCGGGAACGGTTTGAGGATGAATTATTTGAACTGGAATATATTTCTACGAACGAGAACGTGGCGGATTTACTTACAAAAGGATTGGACAAAGGCAAACATGTTTTATTTTCTTCTACTATTCACTGTGGCTCACGAGGGGAAGTCTTGAAATAGGGCGCTCGACACGTTTCATAGTTCTGGAAGATTCTCATCATTTCATTATAGTATTCGTCATCGGCGTATGACTCACTTTCCTATTAGTCATTCTATTACTCACACGTCCATGACTCATTGTATCTCTTTTGTATTACCTTTCTTTAGTATAAATACGGGGCATTCCCCCTTAGCTAGCACAATCAACACGATCAATTACTTTACTTCTCCTACATACTTTCTCTATGGCTAAAGTACCAAGTCTACACACAATCGGGATACGTACGTTATATCTCCAAAATCGCCATGTACCATCCCGGTGGAGTATAAGAATGATTTGGGATAATAATTCCCTACATGGGGATATCATAGTGGGCAATAGATTGGGATTACAAAGGCATATAGTCGGTGCATTTGTCTTGAGCTTTATAATGGTTCCGAGAGTACTCATGAATCAGAGTCATGATCGGCAGAAGAACTACAGTACCTATAAGGGCTCCTAGTCATGCAATGGTTATGGCGAGCCCGAGAAATTGCGAGGTTGAGTAGAGTTCGGAGGTGTGAACTTCAGATTTTAGCTTAACACTAGTGCTAGTGTTTGCTTTCTCGTTCATGATCACCCCTTGATTCCATGTAGGATGATTATGCTAGATGATAGGCGGAACTCTGCTCTTATACCACAATTATCTCCTTAGCTGAGCTAAGCGCTAGTGCCAAGTGGTGACCACGCCACCTGCTCAGCCACCAATACGCACACATGTCCTTCGTGTTGCGAAAAGTGATCAGAATCTGATAAGGAAAAATACACGTATTCACCGCAACACTCACTTATCAGAATCTGAGCACTTACCCTCAACATCCGGTACTCCCTTAGACACCGTTCCCACAAGGTTATATCATCCGAGCCCATCATAGGGTATCACTCGCTTTCGCAACCCTAACCCTTAGATGAAATATCGAATAATCTTTTGCTTATATTAATAAAAATGGAGCATTGTTAACCTAAATGGTCGAAATGACTACTGTTAGCGTAATAGGATTCAAAAGCTTGATCACAGAGTGTCTATAATGTTAAATATACCGGCAGGCTCGGAACCACGTACAAGCGATCAATCCTGAGTAAGGCGCAAACCGACTCCCGCTGTGACGAAGGGGTTCAGGCTTTGGCAACACTTTGCAGAGACATAGTGCGGTGATTCAAAACTCTTTTAGGCCCCTGAACAGCGCTATAGCTATATATCCACGCCAAATACATCTCGCCCTTTAAACAATGAGACAATAAAATTTAGGCGTATGCAGGGATCTTTGGAGATCAAAGATGGGAGAGATTATATTTTTATTCCGATTTCTTTCGGAATAACTATGAAGCTACGCGTTGGATATCGGGCGATCTGGGGCGAGAAAGAGCCTTGTCCAATATTTCAGAGTTAGGGGACAGAGTGCTATTTCAACGGTTCACGGTTCACTAAAATACGATTCTAGTAGTATTCGCAAATAGCCCAGGCTGCACTAGGACTAGCGATAGACTGCACACCAATTAGATTCCTATTACGTGATTTCAAAATGGGAAAGCTGTCAACTTAAGAACGACCTTGGAAGAAATGTGTTCTGTGGATCGACCATATACATGACGCGCTCTGTACTGTCTTCTTCGAAGGCAAAGGCGTGTTTTGGGGTCCAGCACCTCTCACTCCTGGTCCTCATACCACGTGTTCTCTATGCCCCCCGTATACGTTGTCATATCCCAATATCCCTTTTCTCCAATACATCCTCAAGCTCCTACCATTCTCCCGGTTGACAGGTGCATCCATCTCAAACATCCTGAAACTTGATAGACTTCCACTGACTCTACCAGCCGCTCTGGTACCTTCACGACCCACGGTATATCCCGCTAATCATTCATATCTACATTTTTAAAGTCCGTGTTCTCCGGCCATACGCGTCTTAAACTGCCGGATGCACTGAACTCAAGGATGGTGAAATAGAGAGCAATCCCGGAGGTGTGGTTGAAGTGTATTTCGACGGCTTCCTCGTTCTTCACGGTGAACAGTCGATTGCAGTTCATCAACGGTTTCTAAGCAGGGCAGACATGGGATTTATGTGTCAGTGCATGTATCATATTGGAGCGAGTACTTCAGAGGCAGCGGGGCGAACTCCATAGGCTGGCCATTGAGGCAGGGCTGAACCTTGTTCTGAAATGTCGACTCGGAGAACTTGTGTATTTACTTGCAATGACCGAAAAACATTGAACCGGGAGACATGAACTGCGCCATCGAGCATAGTTTCTATACTAGAGCTAGCAGGGACCATAGTGATGCACGTTCTCGAGTAACACCAGAGTCCATAGCAGAGCTCCCGTTTCCGGCGATGTAGAAATCTGGTGTCTTACTCTTATCATAGACAAAGGATACAGTCCAGTATCGATCAATTTCCCAGTCTATACTTTCGATTCTACTAAGTAATACTGCATGGCCGATAGTATTTTAGAAACCATGCTAGTATTCTATGCGGGAGTGTTTTACTGCTTTCGGAGAGCCACGAACCAGAACTGCTTGCGAGCAACTTGGCGAGTCAGAAATTTTCTTTCCTATGATTCTGACCTTTGAGATAAGTGCTTCTTAGATCCAATTCATTCCATGGAAATACAGCATACATCTCTCCTAGGCTTACCCCATGTACCTTTCCTTCCCGGAATTTAACCGTACTTGCATCATATCTTGCTACTCTCGTCATCGGCACTCCATATGTCACTGGTGAATTTGACAACACAGTGTGACTAAATAGATATCTTTGGCCACTACCAGCCAGGATAGGTTCCTTGGCTTTGAGACTCTTACCCGTTGGGCGGAGTAACTTGACATCACCACGGACCGTCCTATAAAGAAAAGCATGCGCCACCTCCACCCCCACCCCCCCCCCCCCCCCCGCTGTGTACAAGTGCAATACTTATTGCATACGTTACATGAGCTCCGTGGAACTTTCCATCTACGGTGACCTCACACGCGACCTTATGTGGTCTACATATATGCCGGCCTCAAAGAACCCAAATGTTGGTTCCAGAAACCAAAGCCTGGCGTACCCTATCATCCGCTGACGTATCGTTCGTTTCCCATCCCTCAGAGAAGGCACCGCCAGAGATGGCCACTTTGCCGGGAGATCTGTCAACACCATTTCCTTCTTGGCCCCGAGTTTGTATTATCTCTTCTTGACCGGCCATTGATCCGGAGGCAGGTGGCACCGCCGGAGTGGCGTGAATCGAGGACAACGGTAACGATAAGGCTACGACGGACAAGCAGATCCAGCAAATACGCTAAGTGGACATTACGTAAAGCTGATATATAGCCACCAGACTTCTCATCAGTGGAACAGAGCATGCACTTCGTCCTTTCCTTTAAGGATAGGGTTATAATGTGGTGTGGTGGGAACAATGTCCTGAGTATGTAGTTAATATAAACTAAGTCTCCTGGAGAAGCTTGAGTCGAAAGTGTCTTGAAAGCAGATATGATGCATATTATATTCGAGTAGGTGGACTACGAGACTGGGGGGTTTGATCGGTTCTTTTACTCCTCGTAACCAGCTAAGCTCAATTAACGTTATTCTATACGTGGGTTTCCACTCCAGCCCTTTTGTCCACAAGGCCCCGCTCCCCACTATGTATAGGATCAAACAACAAACGAGATAATCTGAACAACACTCGGCCCCGCCACCGTCTTGACATCGACCTTCACAGGCTGTGGATCTCCGAAGCGCACAGCCAACGCCGCCATCACCGCGATGCCCGTCCCCACTGACCGATCGCGTCCCGGTCCTCCTGGTTCGGCAACGTGAGCATAACCTACTACGTGGCGTACAACAGCCAGCACTAGCAGACGATGCTCACAACGGGGATGAGATACGACATGCCCTTGAGGAGGATCCACTTGTGGCATTTACAGGTGCACTCGTAGCGGTGCGGATCCCTCCAGCCACCGGCACCGCCGCCAATATACGCCCTGTCGGCCTCGTCATGCCCGGGGGCGGGCTTTTGTACTGCGGGCAGCTGCAGCTCGTATACCGGGAGCAATATATGCACGGCGTGGTCTCCCCCGCCCCGTGCCCTCTCCTCCGCCCTCAGGCGCTCGCCCTTCCGCTCTCGCTCCCCGCGCACGTCCCGTCGCTGCCCTAGTCGCCGAGCTTTGCCAATGACCCACATCATGCACATGAGCGGGGGAATAAGCCACCCGAGGAGCGTCTGGTCCGCCAGACACCGCACCAAAAACGATGAGAGCAGCACCTGCTCACTGGGCTGGTTCCGCCGCATGCGCCCATGCTCCATGGCTGATCCCGGCTGTGGACAGACAGTTGCGGCCTCGTCGAGCTGGACGACGTTCCATACCGAGGTTAGGCTACTGGCCATCATCAGCATGAGCCAGGCGTAGACTACTGCGCGGGTGCCTGCATAGGCGCCGCGAAAGTCCTTGGAGTGGAATACGAGGTAGGGCGAGTTGAAGAGGGCAATCATGGTGATGCCATAGATGGGCAGGGTGTCGAGCTCGGTGACGGCTGGCGTGGACAGGGAGATGAGCGCCAGGCCGTGCAGGGCAGTGGTGGCGGAGTAGAGCATGGTACCACCAAACATGGCACGTGCAAACCACCTTTTCGAGTGGAAGATGGTGCCGGCGCTGGGACAGAGGATGTAGATGTAGCGTGGGGGGTCGCTGTATGCGCCGGAGACGCGGTAAGCGCAGACGTTGAGGGGGAGAGTTGCATTCACTTCCGCCCTGAGCTCATCTATATAGTCTATAATCAAGGCTCCACGGGCCGTGATGACTTTCAGACTGCGGTTGAAGTGGTCGGGGGAGTTTCAGAAGGGAGTCAAAATATAATAACCAGTCCGTGAAATACAAGGTAGCGGTGGGGACCTTAGATCACCGAGTGATGGGTTGTGACCCCAGGAGTACTGCAACGACGAGGATGAAGTTGGAAGCACAAAAACTGAAAGATGGAGAGTGGGGTAGATGGCGTGTGGTTTATATTGTGGGGAGGAGAAATCTCATTGAACTCCACGATGATCGTGGCAGTGGCATGCGCCATTGCTGGCGAGATATGAGAAACAATCCTATTCGCCCTATAGAGAGTGCTCCTGCAGAGAAAGTGCACTTTGTTATGCCTGATATTCTATTTCAATCCCTCAGCTTACGCCCCCTGAGCGTCCCTCTCAAGAGCTTACAACCCCTTTTTCAAAGCGAGTTTTCGTCACCACCGCAGTCCGAATATTTGGAGGTCTGTAAGTGACATGCGTGCCAAGGAGTGTCTCTTCCGAGAAAATTCAAAGGACCCGATGAACAGACTTTGGGGAGGCGTTCTGCAAGTTTAGGTTAACTTGATCAAATACCGGTCAGTATGCCTTGATGTCTGCATGTTGCCTCCATGAAGAGAATCGAGTAAACTAACATGTAAGACACATCTGCTTACCATAGCTGTCTCGAGGTACGGGTATAACATGAATAGTGGGGCATTTATTTTAAATACCCTAAGCAATAGGAATTGGTTCACATGAAAAGCTGATTTATCAACGATCTCAAGATCTCGTTGGGCGTTTCCCTCTATCATCCGAGTGGCTAATCGCCTCGCGTTGATCAATTTGAGCCACCATTGTAGTGTCCCATCCCGGTGTAGTCGACTTGTCATGGAGCTATCTAGCAGAAATAGGTCGATAGCAGCAAAAACATAACTGTGCTGTTATGGGGGCTGATGGCTAAGGTGAACCCGCGAGTAACCACGGTGCTGGATATGAAAATCTCAGAAGAATAGTCGTTGTAGGAATAAAATAGTTATTGATCCATTGTATTTAGCCGTGTAGTTGGACTACTGCTTTATAGTATTGTTGTTGGTAAGAGTGGTGGTTGGGATAATGGAACGGATTATATGTGAGAATGAGGAAAAGAGACACTGGTCGCTGCATGGATGTTCGGCTCCCTAGACTTTGCACATCGTCGCGGGTGATCTCAGATGCTTGTTGAGACAGTAAAAAGCCTTTATTAGAAATAAAACCTAGGTCTATAAGTCAACATCCAGTTTTCATTATCAAAAAAGAATTGGATAAATTGAAGTATTGTGGGCTGACAAAATTTCTCGTGATTTTCGCATAGCAATCAGCAAAAAGACCAGTGTTTCCAACGGTTGTAACTGGTACTTACTTTCAGCAGAACTGAACTGAGCTGAATAAAAATGGGCGACAACTGAACCGACCGAATAAGAACCGGTTTATATTGAAGAACGGTTCTGAAGTCTTGGTACTAAGTAGTCTGGCAGGAACTCTATCCTAAAAGTGTTCTGGGTTAGGGTTGGTCTTGATAAGGTGTTCGTACTTTGTATGAGGAGTTCCACCTGCATGGAAAACTGGTTTACCCCAAGCTAGAAACTGAACTGAACTAAATAGTGAATAGGCAAAACTGAACTGAACTGTTTTCTTAAACGTTTCTAGAAAACCGGTTTGAACTGATAAACTGAAGAACCGTTGGAAACATTGCAAAAGACTAATTCCACAAAGTGGGCAATCGGAATTCATACTTATGAGGCATGTTCTATCAATCTTCAGCTCATTAATTTATTAATATGTTCTTTATATCTTTTGTGGTCGTGGGGTTAATCGTTTCGTGGTCAACCCTGTTACAAGATCAGGGGAGCTTTTGTCACCCAACAATAGGAAGCACACATCTGTGGAGAGTGCAGGTGCCAAGTAGAAAATGTGGTATTAATTTATGCGTATAAAATCTTATATTTTAAGACGATGTATCTAAAACCATTAACGTTAGCAGGTGGTACCTAGATTATCGATGCACTTTAGGTCGAATACGCTTAAGAGCTGGTGGCGTGTTCTTACCCCCCAACCCGGCAATATGCAGAGTGTCCAGTAGGTGAATATTTACTTCTGGCGCTTCGAATATACGTCTGTTCGAAGGTCCTCAACATAAGCATGAGGTCCATCAAATGGAGGGTTTTCACGCATATATGTATGTAATACCAAGACATGTATTACTGCGATCACGGGAGTCAAGAGAAGGGGTTTCCATGGAGCAGCGACCAAGGCCACCAAAATTGAAGTTGAGCATGCAATGCATGGTGCTAATTATTATCAGATCGGCGTGAGAAATGAGTATGATATTCCATGTATTACAAACGAGTCAGAGAAAGGAAAGAGAATCATGTGTTTCTTCTATTGTCTACCTCTCGACTACGTCTATATTCCAATAGCGCCACGTAACACATCCTCCACTCAAAACTCCTAAGCCAACAGTCAAGTCTCAGTCCGATATACAATTATATAATATCATACAACCACACTACTCCAAAGAAAATCACCTTCAGGCCGTGAAAACTCAAACAACTATTCTTCAATCGATCTCTTACCTTACCGAGAATAATACACAAACCAAAATACCTTCGGATTATATCCACTAAGTCCAATGGGAACTAATACGTGCCTACATCTGACATGTGAAACTGAAATGACATTTGTCCTACGCTGAAACTCTAAACCTTCCAACCTCACAGTCAACGATCTAGCCGGTTAACACACTTCCACCCATCTTGCGAACAAAGAAATAATCAAATCGATAATACTTGGAGGTATTAAGATATGTATACATGTATATGAAAAAATAAAATAAACTATGACCTTACGAACCAAGCCAGTAACCCCAACCATTAATCACAACCTATCCCTCGCCTATCCTCACTGACTTTTGTATCTTGGCCTGCAGTTGATCATTTGACTACGGTATATTGGTGGATAGTAAGTCGTCGGGCGGGACACCACCAAAATACCTGCTTGCAGTGGCTAGGATGTCCGATGACTTATTGCCTACGCGGCCGCCATTGTACTATTTAATTTATAGCGTGCTTCGTTGGGGTGCTGACCTAGGTGTGTCAGCCGGGGGGTGTGATACGGTCAGTTCCCTGCGCATGATCTTTCTCATTTGATCAACCCATATAGTGAAAATATAGATATTGTTTTTTTGTTTTTGTATTTATGCAGTCGTTAATTAAAAGACCGGGTTTTTTTTAGTAAGTATTTGGTTGCAATAATATCTGAGCATGTAATAACGCGCGAGCACTGACCTTAAGTACACTGGGTTGAGCATCGTGGTTGGGGGTTTGTCGTTGCCTCCACGGTTTTTGGATGGTTCGATCATGTCTTGCTGACATTTGTTTCAGGAAACGCAAGTTATGTAACGCCACTGTTAGTTTCCCTCCACTCTACGATAGGAGGAAGCCTTGATCCCTTCGTCTGTTCCCGCGATTCACGATCAGTTGAAATCAAGCGTCCTATACTGCCTATCAATATCAGGTACGAACGGGTGGACTCGGGCAGGAAGAATGGGTTGGCTAGCTAGGGCAGGAAGGCCGGGTTAGGACGAGTGAGGATGGGTGATGCTTGCAAGGGTTGTGGTCACGAACTCTTTCCTTCTTTTTACACTTCTGTATTAAGCACGAGCAAATCAATAAAAGCTTTCATCGTTCTGAACACGACCTCTTGGCGTGGAGATATTCAACAGGCTAGCTGTTATTCGGGCTGTAACGCTACTAGAAGAAGTAGAGTTTGCTCCAAAAGAAGAAAGATCTGCTGAAGAAGCGGTGACAAACGTTAACTTCGGCACTTATAACCTAGGGTTGGGGACATTTGAGCAGGATTTGCAACCAAATCTGCCAGACAGGTTTCAATGCTCATGACACTAATCAAAATCTTTTTCGTCTCTATCCCTACTCTACGGTGCAAGTAAGTGAATTAGTAAATGAATCCGATTTGCGGCAAACATTTTAAATGGGCAAGTCATACATCATTTTAAAATGTAAAAGGTCACTGGTAAATGGAATACGAGTCGAGCGGAGCGGGCCTCGTAAATCAACGAGCTCCTCGAGCCAATCCTCAAACCTGACTCGATCGGGCTCGTCGACTACACTGTTATGTTAACGGTAGGTTGTGATCTTGGTTTCTAAACATAATACCATGAGTGGTAGCTCCGTTTCCTTTCAATTTCCTCTCGAGAGACAAGTGACACACGGTAGAAATATCTAGGGGCTCCGTTTTTATCCGCGCTTATACCGACTACAATTGGAACAGTTGTTGTAGCCCAAATGAATAGCGGCGTCATGCGTCAGGTCACGTTTGGTAGAAAATAATCAAATCGTCACGCCGTGTGAGCATTTGGCATTGTTAGCTAGGAAAATCTTGTTCAAAACCGGCAATATGACCTGTATCTGTTGAAATTTCACTCGAAAACCTTGGCCAGTTCTACGGTATCAAAGGTAAGTGAGTAGAATGCGGCGGTTCAGGTTCGCAAGCAAAACAGGAAAACTGCAGCTTTAGCCACGTTCTACTCACTTAACTTTGACACCGTAGTACAGCGAAGATGCAGTTTTCTCGGGTTCTTCATCATTGTCACAAGCGTGTCACTTTACAACTGCCCGCTACAACTCCCATGGAGAAAGGTTATGCCCGTTAGATGGCCTGTCTCCTCACCAGTTCGGGTTTCCCCTTGACAGAGTCTATTCTGTGAACGTTGGTAAGGCAGTATGAGCTCGGTGTTATTCATATTCTTTATCTAGCGGTGTTATACAAGGAAATATCTTGATCATTTAGCTAAAGAAGTGCCGAGTGCAGCTCAACAATTAGACTTCTAGTTGTCCGACGTTTTGGGTTGTACGACACTGTGTAAATTTCAATCTATGCAGCAACCAAAATTATCCTCTAGGCACGGAGTTTTCAACTGTGGAAACCAAAATCACCGTTTTAAATCCCTACCAGATATCTATCACAATTGCATGAATTTGGGAAAAACACTGCCGATCTAATGACAGAGATGGCACCCTTTTTCACTCATGGAACTCGAGGGGCCTTCATGAAACACAAATCTCAACATCATCCGCCGAGGTGATCTTGTGCTAGCGCTAGGATCGTGCAATTCTAATGCTAAAGCTCGCAATGTCATAAAATCATTGCAGAAGACAGGCTCGAGATGCAAGGTCCTTGCATGCAATTAATGAATTAAACAAAAAAAAAAAAAAAGAGATGCAAGGTCCTGACTTGCGGCATCCCCACGGAGGAGACAATCCCGTGGCATTAGCCCCTTTGCATACGTGATTTCGACGGTCAGGCATCCATATGGGACAAGAAACTCGCATGCAACATGTTTCTAATCTTCAGGCCGCACATCCCACCCCGGGCCGATTTCTCTGGCCCAGAAGCCTCCCCAATGATGTGATCTGAACATTGAGGCAACCAGCCGTACACCTCTATCCTATCTCGCATAAATACAGGTTGTTCTCCCCACTGTTTCTGGCTCACTACAAACCTAAATCACCCCCTCGCTCACCCCCTAACTCCCACCGCCAGATCCGAAACTTCATTCTTACTCCTTCTCTCATAGTTCATTTCATCAACAAGTATGGTCAACGAACAGTTCGCGAAGGGCCAGCAAGTCCGTTACGAGAAAAGTACTTTGCCCCCATCCTGGGAGTAACCCAACCTAATAGAGACCGCCTGCCAGACTCGCAACACTATAACGGCACCATCAAGGACACCGTCGGTAACCACGACCCACCGCACTACTCGGTAAGCATTCCCCCTCCGCATCCCCCCCCCATCTTTGCACCTGCTGAACGACCGACCAACTCGACCTTTCGTGAAGATCCATCCAGACGGCACACCGTCGGACACGAGGGTCATTATACCAGAGGATAAAATCGAGTCTCGCAACTAGGAGTTTTTGGTTCTTTTTCTTCATTTGCAGGAACCTATGGGTATAGGATCAAGAGTTATGTATTTCGAGGAATATAATTGAAACTCAAGCGTACTATAATCTCACATGAACCGTAGTATTACTAAAATTCGTACCACCGGGGGAGGAGGTGGAGAATTTATATAATTATAGTCTACATGTACCAATCGAACTCATCAGTTTTATACTATCATACTAATTATAACCCTAGTTATAGCTATGAAATAATGTTTCGCTTGTCTTCTCAGAACTAGACTCGTACTGTCGCTCAATTGATGGGTGTGATGACGGGCACGCCAAAGAGAGATAGCCAAGCCTAGTTTTACCTTCTGTGGTCAAAAGGCCTATATGCCTGTATGTAGAGTACTCTACGCGTTTACTACAAAAAGAACCAGAAAATGCAGTTGCTCAAGGCAAGGATTATTTGTATGGGGTGGCAGTGATCTCTCATACAAATCATTACTGTTTCCCTCACTTGCATTTTTTGGTTCTTACCCTGGTATATGAGTACTCTACTGTCGTTCAGGGGGCGATGATTGACGACAGGGGTTTCTCACGTGCATGGTTCACTATATGCCTCAAGAGCCGGCGGAGCGGCTTTCTCCACGCATGTTGGCGACAGGCGACTCTTGGCATATGCAAATAATGATCTTTACTCTATCTTGGCAATGTACCTTACGACGAGTTACTTGCCAGTTCTTGCCACGGAGTCTTTTGCTGGCCGTGGGTCAGCATCTTACTGATGGTACTCCATGTAGGCAGGTACGTCTACCTGGCCAGTAAAGCTCTGTTGCTCACCCAAGTCCTACACCTAACACTTCAGTATAACCGTGCACTCCACATGTGATTTGGTCTCGGGGATTTATTTCTAGTGGATGGAACCACTGTGAATCAACACCTCTCTGCCTCTTCAGAAGTGATATCCCTCTCGAGCGACCGTTTTGTTTACAAATTCGTCCTGACCCTATATACGTCGGGTGCCACACGTTGATAGGCGCAGAACCCCCGTGATAACCCTAGCCATTAGAGAGCGTCTGTGATCACATCACTGGGTAATACGGGGTAGGGCAAGATGTGATCGATAGCGTAATCGAGGCGGGCTTTGGGGAATATGGGGTGCATGAAAATGACATACTCTCTACTGCAAGTTGAGTTGAGATGGTCTGCCTGAATACTGAGATTGCCGGCCTGAAGGCCATATGGGACGCCTGAAACCCAAATTGCAATAACTATCCGACCCAGTATTTTGCAGGGCCTAAAGGAGTTTGATATGGGTGGGTATATATGCAATGCCTGATGAGATTGCAAGGCATGGTCTGTCAATTAGGAGGTTTCGCAGCGTCCGACAACGGGCTTTGCGCAATGTGAGAGTGCATGGTCACCTATATAACTCCATATGCAGAGGTAGGTCATATTTTCAGATATCAAGAATACTATATATAAAGTGTTACAGGAACTATGGAACACTGTTCTAGAGGCCTAGGACAGTAAGGAATACGAGTGACGGGTTGTGATGCAAGGACGGTCGGGTAACGGAAGGACAAGCATAGAAAGGTATCGGGTAGTGTGGGGGCACGCGGTGTCACCACGCTAGGCCCATACTATTATGACGGCACGCTTACTGTTGGGTGTCTCACCCGAAATAGAATAGGAAGCGGGGCTTACGGCTGTAGGCTGTTCTACTTAGAGAAGTAGGTCTAGGATAATAGTATGGTACAGCCCGATGACTGGCAATTGCAAGGTTCATGGTTACGTGTCGGAATTAGAATAGAGGACGAAATTATGCGGGGGGGCTTTTCTATCTGGGTTATCTTCGGGAGCATTATCTTATTCTATTATCGTTGTGTCAGTTAGTATTAGAAAGCGGGCCTTGGCATAGGTTCCAACATGTATAAATAGGGCTTGATTCTGCGAAGACTTGAGGGTATCATCAACCATCAAGTCAAGGGAATCCGGTTTACAATATCATCAGTTTAAACGCTACAGAATTATCGCTTAGCACTAGCCAATTTCCTTAACACTATATTGTACCTTATCCCTAACTTTACTCTTTACCTATCGCATACACTACCAAAGTCTCGATAAAACAACTACTCGCTTAAACCAATACTCTGAGTATTTTGTATAGTGGCGGATAGTCACCATGCTCTCAGTAGAAGAATAAGCGCTTAGTCTATTAGAAAGACCAAGGTACTATATGCACCCCCGAGTGGCAACAGCAGCCATCAACAACTACCTTTGCGCTACATTCTTCATTGTTCGAAGAGGAAGCGCCGAGCATCTATACTGCGGATACGTTCACTACTCAGGTTTCTTCGCAGAAGCAGGAACCACCGCTACCTTCGAGGAACACGATCCCGAAACCCTCAACTACCCAGAACTCTTCCCAATCAAGATCACTCTCTCCCAACGGTCTTTCGGACTTGCTCATCCAGCCCCCTGGTTCATTGCTCAACCCTGGTGCAGAAGGCATCCACAGCTCAAACTCGAGCAACTTAGCAATGTCAAGGGCTCATCAGCAACGGTCGGAGGAAGACTACAACATGGAGAGTTCAATCGCCTTGAGAGATCGAGGTATATTAGAGACCCAAGCGAAGAGGCGCCACAGGAAAGAGAGAGATGTGCCGATAGGCTCCCTCTTCACATCGACGAGGCAGGAAGAATCCTATGGGCAGGCGAGGAGGCGGCAGGTAGACCACCGGGAGTTCTCCCCATACGTCACCCCAATCAGAGAGAGATTCTCTACTCAGAGGCACTCGATGCCTCGGGTAATGGACGACGACGATGATACCAACATGGACGTAGAGGAACGGCGGGTGGAGAATCCTTTTGGCGACCTTATTGGGCAAAGAGTCCAGCGACAAGGGGCCCCAGTGGTACAACAGCTCAGCCGCGGGATCGAGGAACTCAGCATGCACGTGCGGGATATTCCCATACTCAGGGAACTCACCCGGCAGCAGCAGGAGTATACCAACAAGATCGTCGAGGACCTCCACGCCACAGGGCCATTTACAGTTTCAGCAGCATCAGCAAACCTGTAACCTTCGCCAGACGCCCGGGGCGCTGAGGGCGCTCAGGGCGCTCGGTAGGTAAACTACCTCTCCAGAGATACCGCCAGTGCTCCTGGCGAGGTCTGGCGCACATAATTCCGCCCCAGCGCACACTAGTCCGCACAACGGGCCCCGACACTAAGTAATAGCGCCCGGTGTAACTAGGACGTCACTCTACCCGCCAGAGAACGCCAGTTGCACGGTTGGATATCCTGACTGCTCCTGGAGCACTCTTCACTGCTCCAGCGGGCTCTGGGGATAGAATGATTGCCCTGACTCCCCCTGACGTTGCCGGATGGGGTGCTTTGAAATCTGGCTCATGCCCGACGTACCGATTCCTACATGTCGGCGCCCCGTTCTCTCTAGGCATACACCTCTCCGCCGTTCCGGCCTCTGGTATTCACAATTCCCCCATGAGATTACAAAAACATCACTCGCACGACGATCTCTACTGTCTCCAGAGCACTCGCGACTGCACTTTGAGAATTGGTGTATTCAACACCGTGATCCTCCGCCTAATACTAAATACAATACGCCATTTAACACCCTAACTAACCCTAATACAATATACGAATCAGAAGAAATCCCCCACTATCTCCCTTAGCACTCGTGATTGTTCTACACATCCTCCTCCCCCCCCCTTCGTAATCCCCCGCTACAGGTAATTCCGGCTCTTCTTCTTCCTCCTCCCCCTCCTCTTCGGTGTCAATGCCGCGAAGTCGGGCATTAATCACTTCGTCCTGGGCGCTGTCGGAATCAACCCGACCTCCTGGAGCACTCGTGGGTGTTCTCCGAGCATCTCGGAATGCGGCAAGATCCGCAGCCAGAGCTTCATCGTCCTCGCTAAAACCCTCCTCCGGTATAATCTCAATCGTTACCCCTTTTTTATCTCGTATCTATTAGGGTTAGCATTTAGAATACCACTCGCATTACCGGCATCTAGAAGTATCATACCTTTTCTCGAAGGTTATCTTTGATTACCTCCAAGGTTGCCTCCTGGTTCTGTTTACTTCTCCCATTCCAAGTGTTGCTCATCCTGTTGAACGTTTCTACTCGTGTTTGGATGTCAGCTTGGCAATCCCGTATAGCCCTAGTAGCATCCGTCATTGCTCCCAAGGCACTCGCCATATCAATGAGGGCATCGGGCCATACTTACTCACAACACTCTCATTCTGCGACTGAAAATTATCAGGCTTCACGTAACTCCCTGTTGACCACGCCCGAATGCCGTGCCAGATCGCCGTCGATATCAGGAAAATAAGGGTAGGGGTTATCCGCTCTAGAAATTCGGGATCCCTAACCCCTCGCATTCTTACCCCATCGAAGTATTTAAAATACAATATATCGATAATTTCCGGAGCCAGGAAGCGCAGTCGGTAGGTCTAGAATCTGTTACCGACTATCCCGAGTGCTCTCTGGGCATCCACTGGCATCATACCTCGTAATGCTGTTGGGGGCTCAAGAAACGATCATTCTTCAAAAGGTATTCCACTTGAGCCGCCCTCGCCTCAGGCCCCACAAAATTTCCAAGCCCGTATATCGTAGAGTCCGCCAGGCGCCCTTTCACCTCGTGCATCAAGTGGGAACGGACACGGGAGTGCAGACTTCTGACCTATCATTCTCAATTATGCTTCCAGAGCACTCGTAATCCTTTTGGGGGCACTCACCTGTTTAATAACGACCTCATCAAGGTCTACTCTACACCCCACTCGGCGACTAGCAGTTGCCCACATGGTCACTACCAGTACCGAAAGTCTTGCTGCAGGTGGAAAGGGCTCATGTAGAAGAGTATGCTCCCCGATTAACACGCTACACTCCTTCTCAATCCTCTGAGCCTGCACTGACAGCACATTTGCACTCCTAGAGTTAGGGACCACAGACCTCTGAGTCAATTGGCTCGAAGGAATGTCGCCAGTGTTCTCAAAGACGTCGTGAGTGTCTTCCAGAATACTAACCTCGCTTCCCGGAATCAAAATACCCTCGCTTTCCGGCATCGGAGTACTCTCGTCCCCCCCCCTAGATGAGGAAAGGTACTCGATTTCGTAGACTCTTCGCGATCTACCTTGACCGTGAAGTTGGCTTGAAGGAATCTGACCACTGCTCACAGAGTTCTCGCCAATTACCTCGCTAGGCGGTGAAGAACGATATGTCCGGTAAGTGGGGGACGACTCCCCGTATCGAGAGCGCATCGAGGAAAAATCGATATGGCGCGTAGAAGAGGTATACTCATGAGCATAAACAGGTGCAGAGGGCCTAGACTGTGAGGGTGTTGGGGGTGCTCTCTGGGATGCAGGGAGTGCTCTCTGGGATGCATTCTGGCTGGGTGCTGAAGTGGGTGCTGCTCTCCCTTGACCTTGTTTACGTATTACTTTCGCGCCCGATCGAGTTCCCCTCTGAATCGTTAGCCACTAATACTTACATGTTAAAAAGCATCAATGAGCGAGATAGAGTCGAACCTGTACCACGTCCACCGACACGTTGGAAGAAGCAATGACCTCCGCTACCGCGCCAGTTGGTTTCCTCCGAGCATTGCCCAGTGCTCTGGCAGTAGTCGGCTGAACTGTATGAGGTCTCTTTCCGACAGTCTGAGACTTCTGGGTGTAAGATGGGGGGGGGGCTTGAGGTTCATCCTCCGGTTCATCCTCATCCTCCTCAGAGCTCTCGTGGTCATTCTCCGGAGCATCATCATAGTCTGAGTGGCTAGTATCAACTATTTCTTCCACCTCTGGCGCCTCAATTGCCTCTGGCGCCTCAATTGCCTCAGGCTCCTCCTGCGCTTCAAAATTATCAGTATGATCCTCGGGGAGATGAAATTCTACCCTCCTAGGACTGCTCCTCCCAGTGGGGGTTTCGGAGGAACGGAGAAGACCTTTCCGAGTTATTTGAGCGGCGGTGGTCGATTGACTACTCCGAGTGCGGGTTGGCAGTGGAGTCAATGTTCGGTAAGATATTTCAGACTCGTCAGTCAGTAAATCTTCATGTTCTTCAGGTCGTTTTGGGAGTCGTGGGCGCTTTGGGGCAAGAGGTGCTGAACCGGAGGAGCGCTTGGTGGGAGCCATTCTGATGACTGGCAGGAATATCCGCAGTGCTCTAGGAGCACTCGCGATATCTTCGATTAGAAATCAATTCTTGGCGAGAAAATTTGCGCCGCTAATCAAGAAAAATTTGCACCGCTAATCCTCTTACGGCAGGGATCATCCTATGTTACCACAATTTCTGCACTCAACCGCATCATTTATCATCACTCGTTTTACTGCACTTTCTGAAGCGGTACCGAGTGCTCTGAGAGCAATCTAGGAGTTTGATTCGACTTTGAAATAAAAGCAATGCAATTACTACCTGGAATAATCTAATCTAATCTAATCTAATCCTATCCGATATAACCCATCCATTGATATACTCTCGCAAGACAAAGGGAAATCCAAAACACCAAATCGTACCGCACCTCAATAGCTATCGCGAGTGCTCAGGGAGTAATCCTAACAACTATTAAAAGGTTAGTGACAATTCCGCAGGAAGGGAAGTTAGAGATTATACCAAAGGGAACTAATGATGCCCACCACCATCACCACCATCACCATCACCACCATCACCACCGCCTCCAGCTGGCCCACCACCACCATCACCACCGCCTCCAGCTGGCCCACCACCACCATCACCACCGCCTCCAGCTGGCCCACCACCACCACCACCACCGCCTCCAGCTGGTCCTCCACCACCACCGCCGCCCGGAGGAGGAGGAGGTCCGCCCGGAGGCGTTGGAGGTCCTAGACCACCACCACCACCACCACCACCACCACCACCACCTCCACCACCACCACCACCTCCACCTCCAGCACCAGCAGCCGCGAGTGCGTCAGCAGCTCTCTTGGCTGCTATCCCGGCAGCTGTCCAGATCGTCCCCTGTAAGAAGTTTGGGTCAGCAACCCCGACACCCAAAGGATACTTCCTAAGGTATTTGGGGTCTAAATCGTCGATAGCATCCTGCTGTCTATCGCGACGCCTAACAAGAGTCTGAATTAGCCTTTGATTACTGGCATCAGTTCTAGGCATATATACCCTCAGTCCTTTGGCATTTATCCGGTGCTTTCCCTCCTCGTAATCCCAATCCTCTGCAGGAATATCGATCATGCTATAATCATCTTCCTCAACGTGAGGGAAAGCCGGGTTCAACGGGGGGGATTCCGCACCACCCAGGTTAGCACCCGCGCCTGCTCTGTGGAGGACCGCCAATATCCTCCGAGGCCTGGCATTGCTGTTCTTCAACCAACCTTCGAGCTCCTCTGAATCGGTAATTTGTACCTCCACCGGCCGAACGGGAGGAACAGCTGCCGGGGGGACATTCTCAATTGCCCCCCAGATAGTCCTGACTGCTCTGCCGGGTGTGGTGTGCTTCAGGATCAAGTTGCATAGCTCGGGGAAAGTTATCTTGGTCAAAATTCCGATGAACGAAGGTTCGTTCAGGGGATCATTCCAGTCATAAGTAGGTGGTGGGACGAGCATAAAGAATGCCCCTAGAGCATCGGGGTCCACCACGGTAACCATTATGGAAGGTCGCACGAGTTCCGGAGGTACTGCACGCTCTTTCCCTTTGCGAGAGCGTCTTCCGGCTGCCTGACCACCGCCGTCATCATCATCATCACTATCACCGGCAGCCTCTTTGAACTGACGGTCTCCCTGTCCCCTTGATAACCTATCCTTCATACCAACATCTGCGATGAGCCACTGTAGAGCACTCGCTAGTGCTCTACGGGCATCGGAGTCACCCCCAGTCCAAATTGGCAGAAAACCGTTGAGGGAGGGCAAGTTCATCAAGTAAAGGCATAGGGCATTGAACGCAGCCATACCGGACGTGCTTTTATTGACCCAACCCACATTTTGCATTTCCGCCTTTAGGCTGTTGCGGATGCTGGTGTACACTCTAGGTAGGTTGAGTAGACCTAAAGTCATCTTCGCTTTGCTTGCTTGAGTCATCTTGAATGCGGTCGAGCTCGGGGATGTGTCTTGAACACTCGGGGATGTCTCTTGGACAATCGGCGATGGCTCGGGTCTAATTAGTCTTTGTCGTACTGGTGAGGGGTGGTCTATTAGTTCGGACGGGCTTGCACTAGAAAATAACCAAGAGGGGCGTCGGGGCTTGAATGTAGGGGTCCCCGGTGCAAGAACCTTCGGTGGAGCACTGACGGGTGCTGGTGAGGGAGTAGTAGAGCCTGCTGGGCCTGTTGAGCGGCCTGTTGCTGGGCCTGTTGCTGCTGGGCCTATTGAGCGGACTGCACTAGACTTGGACCGAGTGAGAACTTGACTTGGGACTATGGTCTTCCGGGCAACGTTCTTTTGTGTAGCACTAGCGGGTGCTGGTGGGGTAGCACTAACCCTAAGTACGGTCGTCCGTACAAGGGCCTCTGGTGAAGCACTGCTGCGTGCTGAGGAAGCAGTGGAGACTGCTGCTAGTGGGCCTGTTGCTGGATCTGTTGCTGGGTCTTGATCGTCACTTATGTATGATTCAGAGGGTTCGGAACTAAAGTCGGGAAAGGAGTCGGAATCAGTTAGGGTTGCTCCCCAGTTACTCGGGAAGATCCCTTCAGTGTCCGATGGAGCTAGGTTAGTATTTGGCGGAGTCCGGGTTTCAGTCCGGATTGGTGGAGGTACAGGGTTTTGTTTTCGGCTCTTGTTGATCGGGGTGAACCCGGAAAGCACTGGCGACTGCTTAGGGGGTGTTTCTGGTATCTCCTCCGGGATAGGCTTGACAGTTTTGCGGTACGATTTGCGACCTGAGGAAGTTCGGTGTTTCTTATGTTTTCGGAACGATTTGTGTTTCTTGGTTTTTCGGTAAGTCTTTTCGTTCTCGTCTTCGTCTATGTCACGCAAGCGCTTCTTATTGGGAAGTTGATTTATGTTCTGTGAGCTACCGGGAGTGCTCTGAGCAGTGTTTGGAGTCTGATAATGTTAATGTATCACTGTGGTGAGTATGGTTCTAAAATTAATTGGATTAGGAGAGAGAAATACCATCTTATTTATAAAGATTGCAAAGGTTAAATCGCTTGAAAACGGAGGAACTTGAAGGATGAGATTTCAACAGGTAATGTTGAAAGCAATGGAAAACTTGAAGTGATAGGTAGAGGAGAACTTGAAGGTGGTTAGGAACTTCTCACGAACTTGAAGGAAGGGAGGGGTGCTCTTATACCGAGTACGATCAGCTTTTTTCTTGAGCTTATCACGCTTCCGAGAGCATCCACGAATGCTCTAGAAGCACTCGAGGGTGCTCGTACTCAATGTTTGCTTCAATATATGACGTTGATCTAAATGCTCCAGGCGCACTCGGGGATGCTCTGACGGTACCAATGGTGACGTCGATAACATTCTGGTGTTGGGGTTGGTGCTTATGTTCTTGTTGGTGTTGGTACTCTGTCCTCTAGGAAGCTGATCGGAGAGAATGTATTCTTTGAGCTCGTAGTCGATATTAGTGTTGAATTTGGCGCTGAGAACACTGTCTCGATCTGAAGAGACTCCGCGAGTGCTCAGGGAGAGAGTGCAGATGCTCAGGGCGATAGAATCTAGCATAACTGGCCGCCTGATTGGGGTGGTGGGTGTTTCTTCGTGTTGGTGTTGATGTTTGTATTAGGTTGGTGATGTATGACATCAGACTCGTATTGAAAATCAGCCTTGCCGACCGGGGTGCAGGTGAGAGGAGCCTCATTGGCTGACAAATCAAATCATTCGAGCACTCTGCAGTAGCACCTGCAGGAAAGAGCCTCCTCGGCCTTGGCAGAAACCAAATTTTTAGAGCACTCAGGAGTGCTTTGCTAGCATCATGAGACTTCAATGAAATCGTCTTGCCCCTTTTGCAGCAAGCGGTACAGCTCCTCCGCGAACTTCGATAAACATCTTCGAACTACACATCCATTTGAAGCAGATGAATGGCTGGGAAACCAATTTTTACTCCTGGAGCGCGATCAAGAGGCACCCGATGACACTCACGACAGCCCGGAAGGCATTCACGATTCCTATTCAGATGCCCATGACGACTCGGATAGTTCGGAGAGCAACAGTATCAATTATCATGACCAAGATCCCGATAATAATTCAGATCTGGAATCCGAATCATATTTTATGATGGAAGAGACAGATGGAGATCCAAATAGGCATGAGGCAGCGACAACGATTTACGAAGGTGCTGGGGAGCGTCTCTACCGCTCGGAGGACTACGACGAATGCTCACAAAACCTTCTCCGATACCCGTGGCACCTATTCAACTCAGCATACGAGTTTAGAATGGCACGTTATTTCATACTGTCGAAGGCCTCACAAGGAAATATCGACAGTTTCTTTCTACACGCTCCGTCAAGTAGTTGCGAATGCTCCTACAGGACTGGGCGAGGTTTTATAAAGAGGTTGGACGAAATGAATGACATATTGGGAAAGGCGAGCTGGCATCATTCGGAGGTGGATATTGGGGGAGAGAAAATCCCTTACTATTACCGGGATCCAATGGTAATTGTGCGATATCTTCTAGGCCAACGGGCGTTTCGGGAGTCATTGGTGTACGCGCCAGTGGTAGAGCATAATGAATCTGGCGAGAGAATGTACGGGGAAATGCATACGGGAGATTGGTGGTGGGAGACGCACGTCTGGTAAGCCTCACAAGTGCTCTAGAGGCAGTTGCTAATGCTTTCTGGACAGAATACCTTACCTGAGGGGTCGACTGTGGTACCAATTATATGCGCGTCAGATGGCACACATTTGACAAATTTTAGTGGGGACAAGAAAGCCTGGCCAATCTATCTTACCATCGGGAACATCAAGTCATCGGTCCGGAGCAAGCCCACCGGGCATTCGTTAATTCTCCTAGGGCTACTGCCAGTCCCACCTAAGCTCGGGAAGAACTCACTCGCTAATTCCGCTTTACGACGTCAGAGTCAAATGGCGCTGCATCGCGCCCTTGGGGAGATCTTTCAGAGCATTCGGGAGTGCTCTCAGGAAGGCGAGCTAATCGCATGCGCCTACGGGTACGAACGTCTATGCTTTCCGGTGTTGTCGGGTTGGATCGCTGATCAACCTGAGCATTCAAACTTACAAAATATTAGTACTAGCTCTTGTCCAAGATGCGAGGTGGAATTCCACAGTCTTGGGAGCACTCGCCGGAGCCCTACGCGCGATCACGAGGATTACCGGGAGAGGGTAAAGCTATTCAGGGAGAACCCGGGAAACCTGGGACCGGTGGAATACCTTGTCGCGAGATCAGTAAAGACACTCTTCAATGCTTTCTGGGGTATGCCGAGGGTTAATCTATACGATCTCAACAAACCGGATATTCTGCACAATATCTACCTAGGGATGTTGAAGCACATGATGGAGTGGGTTCAGGCTTTCTTGAAGAAGCACAATCGATTGGAGGAATTTGACAAGGCTTGGGCCTCGATTGCGCCTTACCCTGGACTGGCAGTACCGAACAAGGCATATCGTGCCACAACCCAATGGCAAGGGAAGGAGATGAGAAATTTGGGGCGGGTCGTTCTTGGAGCACTCGCGGCTGCTTTGAGAAACCCGGGGGTGGCTGTCAGGGGCGACTTCGCAAAGGCATTGAAATGTGTACGAGGCTTAATCGACTTCCACTTAATGGCGCAGTATGGGAGTCATACGACGAGCACACTGAATTATATGGAGAGCTATCTCGAGGATTTCCATAAGCCCAAGGATATCTTTTTAGAATTCCGGGCGTACAAGAGGACGGTTAAGGATGCGAGAGATCGGACAAAAGCTGTGAAGACCTCAGGCTCCCAGAGCGCTCAGCGAGGTTTGGAGGAGATTCGCGAGATACGGGAAAGGTCTCACTTCAACTTCATCAAATTGCAGGTATTAACGCACTATTGGGAACATGTCGAGCGCTTTGGGAGCATTCCCCAGTACTCCACCGACATCAGCGAACTCGCCCATGTACGTCAGATAAAAGAGGCATACGGAGCATCCAACAAGGTCGATGCTGCAACGCAGATACTGGACTATGGGGGGCGGCGGTTGGCGTTAGAGATTCGAATTCTGAATCTGAAAGACATTGTTGGAGGTCCTGAGAGCACTGACGACATCCTTTGGAGCCATCGAGATAACCTGAAGGAGTTACTTGAGATTTTTAAAATCGAAGACCGGAAAAAAAACACCAAATGAACGATCCATAGTAGAAGGCCGACTGCCTCTAAGGCGTCTTTGCAACCCCTCCACGAAATCGGAAAGACTTTTCAATATTGCGGATGGACTGCAAATAAGCCATACCACGTTATATCGCCTGATAAAGGAGTATGCAGAGGATGCGGGATGCTCTCAAAGCTTTGCCGGAAGCACTGAGAGCATTTTAGAGCGCCGGGTGGAGATGTTCACATGTTTGCAGGTTCCGATACCAATCTTCCAAAGACCTGAGGTGTACGAGGTTCACAATATCAGGTGTACGGGAAACGCGGCTTTTAGGAAAGGGAAAATAAGAAAGGATTGGGTATGGGTGTCGGTAGCGTCATCAGAGGAGTGGGGAGTGTTTCGGGGACGCTTACCAGGACGTGTCGAGGCTTTGTTCAAGCTGCGGGACAGTGGGGGCGAGCACATAGACTATGTATAGTGGAGCTACTCGAGGCAAAGGATCGTGGTATCGCTGATAGCTCACATGGGCTCCTGAAGGTTTGTAGGAGGAGGAGGAAAAGGATGTGGGTCGTTAATTTTCGGAGTATATTGGGAATGGCCCATTTGTTTGAGGTGGAGACTGGTAATTGGTTGGTAAATACTAGGATAGACTTGCGTACGTGGAATGAATTTAGTTGAATACTTGTAAAGCCGTGAGGGCATTCTTGAGTGCTCTAGGAACGTTAGACCCAATTGGACTCTCTAATTCAAAATTCGTGTCGTTCTGCTATGCATGCGGATTGGAAGAAGGAGGTAAAGTTTCGGCCGCTCAGTATCTGAGTCTGGCTATCCAGCAAGCTCGCTCCAGGAGGTCAATGCCAGTCCATGTTTGCTGCTTTTGCATGGACATTGAGCTTTTCAGATGAGCCGTACCATGGTCTCAACCTCAAGGCTAATTATGCCTTTCACGAATCGACAGAAACATACACGTCCGTCAAAGGTTGGGTAGTCGTCACCAGTATACAGGACAGTGCTCGTATCAGTATCCCGCGACTGACTGTACAGCGGCGTTGAGGATACCCACGTTAGATATCTTTTGAGGGACTGGTGCGGCCTTCCTATTCTTTGAGGACGGTGTATCAATCCAAAGGAGCCCAAATGAGGGTTGCCTCACCTTGAGTGGGTATGACGAATGCCTCAGCTCTGTGAGCATTGGTGAGTGCTCTGGGAGCACTCGCGGAAGCCCTCGCGGGAGCGTTTGCGGGAGCATTCGCGGGAGCATTCGCGGTGCCGTGAGAGCATTCGCGGTGCCGTGAGAGCATTCGCCGTGCCGTGAGAGCATTCGTCGTGCCGTGAGAGCATTCAAGAAAACTGTGAGAGCATTGGGAAGTGCTCGCGTGTACTACTGACGTAATCAAAAGAAGCAAAAGTTCCTAGGTGCTGTGGGCGGAGTCACTCCATCCTAGCGTCTCCGGAGGGGGAGGGAATCTCATGGCGGCCCAGGCGACCAGAGCATTGGCGAGTGCCCTCCGGACGTGAGCCATATCTCCTGGCGGTCCCAGAGAGTGGGACGGTCCTGCGGCGGAGCCTGGCGCGAAGGTTGTACTCTGGCGGTGCCGGACGCGCTGGGCGCTCGTGGCGCAGAATGCCCGCCAGGACGTAGGGGCTGCGCCCTGGGTAATAGGCGAGCTTGCTGATGAGTGGTGGGCAATCGGGCTTACTGTCTCGAACTTCCGGTAGAATGGAAGGTTTACGACGTCTTCCACGAGATGCTGCTGCGACCCTATCGCGAGGACCCGGATCCGACCAGGCAGCAAAATACGCGAAAACGATTGGCAACACCCGAGCCACAGGAGGCATTGGCGGACGAGAACTTCCAACCAACCTCGAACCTACGACCCCATTCGCGAAGTCAGGACCCAGCAATCAATGACGAGCGGGCACGCAAACGACAACGGAACAGGCGGGACTAATCTCGATACCTTTCCCTACGCTATGACTTTTCCCACAGGGTTTTTATCATAGAAAGGGTTTTAACGGTCGAGGGCGACGTCTAGGAAGGGGGAGTAGTGTTACAGGACCTATGGAACACTGTTCTAGAGGCCTAGGACAGTAAGGAATACGAGTGATGGGTTGTGATGCAAGGACGGTCGGGTAACGGAAGGACAAGCATAGAAAGGTATCGGGTAGTGTGGGGGCACGCGGTGTCACCACGCTAGGCCCATACTATTATGACGGCACGCTTACTGTTGGGTGTCTCACCCGAAATAGAATAGGAAGCGGGGCTTACGGCTGTAGGCTGTTCTACTTAGAGAAGTAGGTCTAGGATAATAGTATGGTACAGCCCGATGACTGGCAATTGCAAGGTTCATGGTTACGTGTCGGAATTAGAATGGAGGACGGGACTATGCGGGGGCGCTTTTCTATCTGGGTTATCTTCAGGAGCGTTATCTTATTCTATTATCGTTGTATCAGTTAGTATTAGAAAGCGGGCTTTGGCATAGGTTCTGTTACAGGAACTACGGAACACTGTTCTAAAAGGTTTAGGACAGGGACGAATACGAGTGACTGGTTGTGATGCGAGAACGGTCGGGTAACGAGGACAAGCATAGAAAGGTATCGGGTAGTGTGGGGGCATGCGGTGTTACCACACTAGTACTATACTGTTATGACGGCACGCTACTATTGGGTGTCTCACCCGGAATAGAATAGGAAGCGGGGCTTACGGCTGTAGGCTGTTCTACTTAGAGAAGTAGGTCTAGGATAATAGTATGGTACAGCCCGATGACTGGCAATTGCAAGGTTCATGGTTACGTGTCGGAATTAGAATGGAGGACGGAACTATGCGGGGACGCTTTTCTATCTGGGTTATCTTCGGAGCATTATCTTATTCTATTATCGTTGTGTCAGTTAGCATTAGAAAGCGGGCCTTGGCATAGGTTCCAACATTTATAAAAATAGGGGTGATTCTCCGAAGACTTGAGGGTATCATCAACCATCAAGTCAAGGGAATCCGGTTTACAATATTATCAGTTAAAACGCTACAGAATTATCGCTTAGCACTGGCTATTTCCCCAAACACTATATTGTACCTTATCCCTAACTTTACTCTTTACCTATCGCATACACTACCAAAGTCTCGATAAGACAACTACTCGCTTAAACCAATACTCTGAGTATTTTGCTTAGTGGCGGATAGTCACCGTGCTCTCAGTAGAAGAATAAGCGCTTAGTCTATTAGAAAAGACCAAGGTACTATATGCACCCCCGAGTGGCAACAGCAGCCATCAACAACTACCTTTGTGCTACATCCTTCATCGTTCGAAGAGGAAGCGCCGAACATCTATACTGCGGATACCTCCACTACACAGGTTTCTTCGCGGAAGCAGGAACCACCGCTACCTTCGAGGAACACGACCCCGAAATCCTCAACTACCCGGAACTCTTCCCAATCAAAATCACTCTCGCGCAACGGTCGTTCGGACTTGCTCATCCAGCCCCCTGGTTCATTGCTCAACCCTGGTGCAGAAGGCATCCACAGCTCAAACTCGAGCAACTTAGCCATGTCAAGGGCTCATCAGCAACGGTCGGAGGAAGACTACAACATGGAGAGTTCAATCGCCTTGAGAGATCGAGGTATATTAGAGACCCAAGCGAAGAGGCGCCACAGGAAAGAGAGAGATGTGCCGATAGGCTCCCTCTTCACATCGACGAGGCAGGAAGAATCCTATGGGCAGGCGAGGAGGCGGCAGGTAGACCACCGGGAGTTCTCCCCATACGTCACCCCAATCAGAGAGAGATCCTCTACTCAGAGGCCCTCGGTGCCTCGGGTAATGGACGACGACGAGGATACCAACATGGACGTAGAGGAACGGCGGGTGGAGAACCCTTTCGGCGACCTTATTGGGCAAGAAGTCCAGCGACAAGGGGCCCCCGTGGTCCAGCAGCTCAGCCGCGGGATCGAAGAACTCAGCATGCACGTGCGGGATATTCCCATCCTCAGGGAACTCACCCGTCAGCAGCAGGAGTACACCAACAAGATCGTCGAGGACCTCCACGCCAAGTTCGCTGGGGACAGAGCCGAGCGGGATAATCAGCTCAACCAAGTCATGGCCCAGCTACGAGCGGAATCCACCGCCGCTACCAGCAACCTCGGTCAAGTCCTCGGGCAGATCGTCAAAGCAACTAGGGCGCATCAAGAAAGGCAGGAACGACAGGATCAGCACATAAACGCGCTGACCAACTTCGTCCAGCAACTCCCGAAAGATGGCCCTGTGGAGATACCCGCGGAGGTTATTGCTGCCCTCGAGAGGATGGAACGGGACAGACAAGCTGCGATGGAAGACCAGTTCGCAGGTACGAAGAAAAACCTGGAGGAGGTAATTGAGCAGATGCGGGTAGCAGCCAATAGAACGGCAGCAGCCCCCGAGGGCTCAGGAGGCGGAGGCGTAGTACCCCCCCAACCCCCTCAGAACCCCCCTAGCAATTCCGGAGAGAAACCGGAAGGATCAGGGAGCCAACCCCCCGTACCCCCTCGCTCCGAGGCAAGAAGCCAGGAACGTGAACAAGGAGGCAGGGGAGGCAATGGCAATAACGGCAACGGCGGAAACCGCGCAAGACCACGAGGCCCATCCCCCTCAGACTCATCCAGCTCCTCCGATTCAGAGGACGATCGTCGAGCACGCGAACGAAGGCAGAGAAGACGGGAGGAGCGAAGACGCCGTAATAGGCAGCAAGAGGTAGACCTCATGCACCCCCCTCGCGCCACCCTGGGTGATACGCCAAAACAGGCAAAAATCCCCTTCTCCGGAAAAGCCGACGAAGACGTACGGCACTGGATCGACCAAATGGAAGTCTTAATTGAACTTCAGAGGAAAGTCCGGTGGGACGACCAGACCAAGATCCTGTGGGCATCCCTGGAACTTACCGGGAGTGCGGCAAAATTCTGGCGAAACTTCGTGGAACGATTATCGGTTGATCCCAGCATCGGAACATGGGAAAATTTCAAAAACGAATTACGGATTCAATATGGCAATCGAACTAGTCAAGAGCAAGCCAAGCAGAAGATGGATAAGCTCCGTCAAACTGGCATGATCGATGACTACATCAATGAAATGCAGAATCTGGAATGGGACGCGAAGGTCGGACCCATCGTAATGAAATCCATGATCCTAACAGGAATAAACTCCTCGCTGGAACAAGGCCTCTCGAACGCGATCGAGGAACCAGAGGACTTCGCGGAATGGCTAGCCTGGGTAAGGAAGGTCAGACGTAAGGATCACGAGGTAAAGGCCCGGAAAGAGATCCTACGTGGCAAGGATGTCGTGAAACCTCGTGAGGAAAAGTCGGAACGGCGAAAATCGCGCAACCCCGCATCTCGGAAAACTTTCCCCGCGCCCGCACACAACTCCAAGGCCTCGGATGACTTAGGTGTCACCAAGGACGAAAAGGAGAAGTGGCAAAAGGAAGGAAAGTGTTTCCGTTGTGGTAGAGATAACCACTTCGCGAAAGATTGCGTGGCGACGAGTAAGGTCAGGTTAACCGACCTGAGGAGGAAACGGTATCATTCCGGAGGAAAGGACCACGGAAGGGAGGGTGAGAAGAAGCGGAAATTGGGCCCCCAGAATGAGGCGTTTAGGGCAAGGATCACAACTCTGGAGGATCAAAATTGATTGGGTATTTCTATTTTTCGGTATCTCATGTTACGTTACGGGTTTCTTTCTACTTTGGGTTATGGAAACAAGGGTTTTATGTATTACGGTTATTTTTATGGGTTGGCCACGAGATTTTCTATATTTGTTTCGTTATATGCGCGGAATTTCAATTCTCTTTACACACACTCTGAGGATGGGGTTACACCCCGAAACGCCTGGTGCGTAAGTGTTGTACCATGATCTTCATCAAACACTCGAACTCTCTAAATAAACCCTCTCACCCCGCGCTCAACGAAGAAAAAATCAGCGAACCAACCTATATCAAAAGCCAATACAAAGTCCTTTACCAAACCAATATACAAACATGTCTGCCAACACACAAGAAACCCGCCTCGAGATCGAGATCTCTTGGGACCACCCCGCAACTAGTACCAAACATGTCGCAATAGTCAACGCACTCTTGGACAGTGGCACAGAGGACTGGATCATGTCCTGGGACTGCATCCACCGTGCGAAAATACCTACTCAACCTCGACCAAAGCCTCTCATTATCAGACAGGCCGATGGTACCCCTATGCCCAACTCCGGCGCTCACACCACCCAACCTCTTTCCCTCCGCATCGGCAACCATCTGGACAGGGCTATCACCTGTGAGGTTGGCTTGTTTGCAGGAGAGGACCTTGTCATACCACATCGATGGCTCAAGGAGCATCAACCAACCATCCATTGGGGACGCAACAGTGTTAGCTTCCATAGCAACAACTGTATAGTCAATGGATGCTTCGTATCAGTCGAAGACATCTACGATCAAGACCCAGAAGAGCTGGTCATCAGGCTGCTGAGGGCGTCACCCAAGAAGCAGATGACGATCGAGCAACACCCCTTTTGGGCAAGGGCATCGGTAAACGAGGCTCTGGTTAGTGCTATACCGGTGGAGTTTCAGGAATACGCCGACGTGTTCTCCAAGGAAGGAGCCGCTCGACTACCTGATCACTCTGAATGGGATCATACCATTCCTCTTATGGAAGGAAAGCAGCCGCCGTGGGGACCAATCTATTCGCTCTCCCCACCTGAAGACAAGGCACTTCGGGAATATTTGGACGAAAACTTGCCCTCCGGCAAAGTAGTCCCCTCCACTAGTCCCGCAGCGGCACCCGTCCTGTTCGTTCCGAAAGCTAATGGTAAGCTTCGGTTATGTGTCGACTT